GGCTGAATTCATGTTTAATTTGATAACCTAACTTTACAAAACCACCTTAATTTAACATTCTTGGTGTATTTGACTAAACTCTAACCTGAGTAACATTGGATCTGTGTGTAGTATGATGTTCAATGTTACAGAATAATCCACTCTGCTACCAAGTTAGATTTTGTAATGCAGTTTTCTTTCTGGTTGACAAAACTGTGTGACATTTAATATCATATTGTGCTGCTTGTTGCATGCAGGATTGGCAAGAGAGCTTCATTTGCCCCTCCCCTGTGGCAGCTGACCTCTCCAAAGATATACATGGATCCTGCATATTAATAATGTCTCCTCTGCATCAGCTATCATTTGCCCTTTTTGGTAATGCATTTCAAATGTGTCTGTTATGTCCTAGCTCAATACGTGGGAGTTACTTGTGTTGTTCATGGCTTCAAATTTGCTGTGATTACAAGAGGCTGTTGTCAAGTGGGTTCGCCTCTTTGAATAGACTCCTTTGAAATAAATAATCCTGTAGAGCACAAACTCCATCCTCACTCCTTTGATTTCTCATCTCTACTTCCTTTTACATGTTCTCCCCCTGTATTCCATTGTCTTTGTCCTGTCCATGTATTTGTCGTCTTCGTCTTCCATTTTATTTTTGTTGCTTCAGGTATTTCTTTCCACCTCTGGATTCTCCCAGAGCAGGGGCCGGGTATGGTCACCTGCTGCCTCCCTCCTCCCTCATAGACCACTGTGATGCTGAGCCCATTCAGCCTCAACAACAGGCTCTGCCTCACAGACACTCCTCTAGATCACTGCTAACCTTACCAGAGGCTGAAGGGCAATGATATTGTTTTTTTAGCTAAAATAAGCAGGGGGCCACAAAACTGATGCTCATTTCTAATAAAAACCTTAATTGTTTTGTGTTTTTAATTGATTGTTCTTTGCAGAAATTAGAAATGTCAAATGATTGTGGGAATTCTACATTATAGCCAGGAAAGCTATTTTGACTGCTGTAATAGTTAGAGACTAATAAACATAATGTTTCAATATTTAGCTTTGTATTCAAAGGTTCAGTTTGTAAGAGGGGTAAAAGATCTATTGGCAGAAATCTAATATAAAATAATCCCACTGATGTTTTCACTTCTGTGTTTCATCTCAATTGTACAAATGGTTGTTTTCTTTCCCCTAGAATGGGACCTTTATATTTATATGCTGTATGCAGCCATGTTTTTTACAGTAGTCCAAACTAGACAAACAAATCACTTTTTGAGTTTTTATGACAACTGAAGGTCACCACAGGTTCTCTTCCATATTTGGAAGGGGAGGGTGAGATGAAGGGTATTCAGCTGCAATATGCTACTTTACCAGTAGATGTCACTAAAATCTACACTGAATCTTTTAGTGATTTAAGTGCATGGAATGCAAAACAAAAAAAACATCTATTAGTGTGGGGTATATGTTTTGGGGGTCATGAAACATTGTCAGAGTCATTGATAGATAAATTAACAAACCTTTAGTAACTACTGATATTTCACTCAGTGCTTATGGAGGCTTGAGAGTTAATAAGCCTTATAATTGTATTTATGAAGCACTTTATAAAAGACGGTTAAAAAGTGCAAGACAACAAATCACAGACAGAAATACAAGAACAGTGCAGATGATTTTTTAAGGCTAGGCTTTCTGGTAGAGGTATGTTTCCTTATCAGTAGCTGTATAGATATATTAAATAAGTATCAATCAATCAAATATTATCAGAATCCTTTATTGTCAGTGTTTAACTTTGTCACCAATATTCAACATTGAAAATCTTTTTGCAGCTCTTGTTACAGCAGCGATTAACCGATTTTAGAAATCAGACATCAAGAAGTAAAAAATTCAAATGTGTAGTTTTCTTTGGTTTTTTGGGGGGCTTTTTGTTTGTTTTTTTGCCTTTATAAAAACACAGCTAAGAAATAAACATATTAAAGTGTGACAGTGTTATGACAGTGCAGTAACAGTATAATAATGACAGTGCAGATTGTACATTAGGACAGTCAGTCTGACAGTCCCCTGAGTAGTAGTGCAAAAAAAGTAATGATTTTGTGCAATAATTAAAGTTCCAGAAAAATAATAAATAAAAGATTCACATTGAATACCCGTGGGATAGACTGGGTGTGTGTGTTGTTGTGTGTGTTGTTTAATACAGTCCTTGGATAGGTTATGAAGGGGAGAGAGTGTGTGTTTGTGTGTGTGTGTGTGTGTTGTTTACAGTCCTTGGGTAGAACGGGAGAGGGGGGTAGGTGTGTGTGTGTTTGATGTTTAACAGTCCTTGGAAGGTGTGGGTGGGGGTGGGATGATGGCTTTAACGGCCTGTGGGTAGAAGCTGTTTGAGTCAGTACATGTATTGATGAGACATTAATTTATTTGATGTGATGAGGAGGGAGAAGAGGAAAGAGAAGCTCCATGTGTCAATTGTCCCCCAACATTCTAGACCTATAGCAGCATCAAAGAGCAGGTCAAAGACAAGCCTGGACCAGCTCTAACTATAAGCTTTATCATAAAGGAAGGTTTTAATCCTACTCTTAAATGTAGAGAGGGTGTCTGCCTCCTGAACTGAAACTGGGAGATGATTCCACAGGAGAGGAGCCTGATAACTGAAAGCTCTGGCTTCTACTCTACTTCTAGAGACTTTAGGAACAACAACTAAGCCTGAATTCTGGGAGCGCAGTGCTCTAGTACAGTGACATGGTACTTTGAGCTCTTTAAGGTATGATGGTGCCATAGTATTAAGGGCTTTGTAGGTGAGGAGGAGAATTTTAAATTCTATTTTTGATTTAACTGGAAGCCAGTGTAGTCAATGTCATCTAGAGCAGCCATATCATTAATGTATCGCTAAGGTGTTTAGGTAAATAGAAACAACGTCACATACTTTTCCCTGGACCCCATGCCCACTGCCCTCGTTAAGGCATGTCCACCTGTCCTGTGCTCCACCATGGTCAACATAAACAATTCCGTTTTGGAATCTGCCATGGTCCCTTATAACTTCAAAACAGCATCCGTCACATCCATCCTGAAAAATCCAGGTCTCCAACCTTCCTTTCCTCAGCAAAATCCTGGAAAGAGCAATCGCCGGCGAACTCCAAAAGCACATATCCAACCATGAGCTCTATGAACTCCTTAATCCTGATTCAGACCCCACCACAGCACAGAGACTTCCCTCATCAAAATCTCCAACGACATCTTCATCACTGCTGACTCCGGTCTTATCAGTATCCTCATCCTCTTAGACCTCTCTGCTGCCTTCAACACACCATCCCATCCTCCTCAACACCTCAGCCTTATTGGTACAACTCTCCTGGTTCGTCACCAAGGTTCCAGCTCCTAACCAGAGAATTGGGAAATTTCCTACCCGACACTGACAGTTGCTCCATCTTTCCATCCCCCAAGGTCTGCACCCTGGGTGTCATTCTCAACTCCATACTATCTTTCCAATCCCACTTCAAATCCGTCACCAAAGCCGCCTTCTTTCATCTCAAAAACATCTACAGACATGGGCTTCTGCCAACTCTGTGGCAGAAACCCTCATCAACCCTTCATCACCTTCTGTCTGGATTATTTTAATAAGGGCTTGTCCGGTGTATCAGTGTCCTGAACAGATTTTAGTATTTGCAGAAGTCTGCCACCAGGATTCTCACTAAGCACTGGCAGCACATCTCAATCACCTCCACTGGCTCCCAATCAAGGACTGCATCATATACAAACTCCTCCTTCTCACCTATAAATCCCTCCACTCTCTAGCCCTACCATATCTAACTGACCTCCTCCACCCCTATACTCTGCTCAGAAGGCTGCGGTCCTCAAACACAAGTTTGTTCTCCATCCCCAACACCAAACTGCAAACCTTTGGAGACAGAGCCTTCTGTGTCGCAGCCTCCACCCTCTGTAACTCTCTCCATGCTAAACTCTGCAATGCTACATCTCTGGACAGCTCTTAAAAAAAACCTCAAACACCACCTGTTCACTAATTCCTTTGGCCTCAGTTAACACTCCACCCTGCCATTAGTGCTGTTTATTTCCACCCTGTTTTATGCAAATTCTTTTCTTTTCTTTTTTTGTCTTTAGTCACCACAGACACATGTAAAGCGTCCTTGGGTCTCTTAAAAGGCACTATATAAATTCAAGCTATTTTTATTATTGTTATCTATTTTCTGTTTTAAATCTTGAGTTATGTTTAAAAGAAATTCTTTAAAAAACATTAGTTATTTTTGACACTATGATATCCTAGCTCTTATAAGATGATACCAATGGGTTTATTTTAGGAAACTTAAAAGTCCTGTTTGAACATCTGCCCTGCTGAAGTATCATTAAATAAGCAAGTAATCAACTTGTGTTGTATTTAATCTTCCCTTGTTATTCCTGAAATTAGATATTTCCTTATGGGGTGCAGTTGATGGAGATTTATCGTAGTGTTAAATAGTGTTTCATTTCTTGACAGGGAGGATGAAATTTCATTTCATGGCTCTCATACCTATACATCTGCCAAAGGGGGGAAAGCATGTGTAGGCAGTTGTCTCAGTAGACAGCTCTCTGCTAACCAAGGCGTCCTTGCAGTTGCTTGGCAGAACACGTGATACAATAAAATCCCCCATTGGACCAGGGACTATCATTGCTCTAGTAAGGCCTCATGTCCTGTGTGGTAGAGTAAATGTTTTGCTTATTAGGAGAGCGCTTCAAAATATCATTGAATGTTGCAAATTCACTTGTTTACACTGATACATCTGATTTCCACAGTAATTCAAACTGTTTTTTACCAGTTTACGTTTGAAATTAAGCATCCAGTTTCTTTTTTTGTCTTGAGAGGAGCGACACCACGCTGATTCATTATTAGGCTGTTTGTCAGTGTGTCAAACAAACCCACAGAAAAGATTGATGTGGGCGTAATCCAATCACGGTTGACTATTACATCGCTCTCGTTTCTATTGTCCAATCAAAGTGGTGCATTGGGATTAAGTCTTACCCCTCTCGGCATGACGTTCTCGCGGGCTTCCTGTGGTTTCCGGGTGCAGCTTGGTCCTCAGAACTGTTGCATGGTGTGTTCCCTGAAACATTTCAGCCTTTCATTGTTAAATACACGACTTAGGGAAGTTACTTGAGGAACTTAACTGCGTCTTGCAGCCTCTTGCTGCTAGTTTATAAAGACCAGACTTCGAGTTGGAGTGAAAAAAGCGGTGTCTCGGAGTTCTGAACGTAAGTTGAAGTCCAGCTAACGCTAACGTTATCTTTTGATTTGTTTCGTCTTGGTGAAATTGACCACTTCTGACAGAATTGGTTTATATTAGCGAACAGGATTATCTAAATAACTAACGAGACTATACTCTCAGTTACTAGTCTTCTTGCAACTTTCCTCTAACTTTTGAACGAAGACAGAGGAGCAACTCAAATGTAGAGCGTACTGGCGAGTTTGACCAACCCATTTGTTTTTAGCAAGTAGGTTAGCTAGCATTAAAAGTTAGGTAACGTAGCCTTGCTAACGTTTGGTGACTGCCAGCAATTTATGTGTGTGTGTGTGTGTGTGTATATATATATATATTGTGGGGTTAACAGTTGATATGTAAGTCAATTACAGGAGGAAGTGAGATGGTGTCTTCTTATAAGTCTCGTGTGTGTGTGTGTGTGTGCGTG